CCGATGACCCGTTTTCAAACACATCCAATTGTCCTAAACATGTTAAAAAAATTAAGGTTTGTAAAATAGTGAGTTTAATATAAGAAGAAAAATGAACTTAATTAATAGCAATTTTAGATATTAACCCGAAGTAGCTGCTACTCTATCAGTTGATTTCACCGTTCTGTACATCTGCAAAATGAAGCAAACAAAACCAAGCCATGCCATCAAAATCATAAACGGTACACTAATTGATTTTTAGAAGTACTTATTTATGAGAAAAGTAAAGAATTATCATTGTAGGTTTTTAGCCTAATGCAGTAAATGTACGAACATTGAGTAAATGATAAGCTTTTCGTACGATACGTGTCCCCATGTGTGTATATATATACGTGCCGTTTCTTAGAGGTTAACCATGGTTAATAAACAATGGTTTCTAAACCCAAAGATATGCAGATTGTATCATTGAGTCATGATAGTGTTCTGTACTTTCTTTTGAAAAACCTGTGCAATTATTTCAAACAAAAAAATAAAAAGAAAATGGACTCTGAGTTTTGAATTCTTTGTGTTTTTGTCTTATATGTTTGATATATTATTGTTGAATCAATGACTCTCCCCTCTGCACCCCCCACCCCTACTATCGTATTCATCTTTTTCTTTTACATGGATGGTTCATTCTTCCAAGCAAAAAGCTGCAAAATAGCTTGCAGACCCATCAGATCTAGTAGGAAAAAAGTGCTGACGAGTTGAGAGCCTCTCTGCAGGAAAAGAAAATTGAAATTGGAATTTGAAACTTATGTGTTTTGACACTTCCCCATTTTTGGCATTTTCTGAGCATTGTAGACGCCATTGTTTGCAAGCAACTGGTGAACAAGCTTTATAAAGATTTTATTTTGATTTGCAAAAGAAGAAGAGTAGAATTTACCTGTAAATGGGACTTAACATGTGCCAAAGTGAGATCTTTAACGTCCATGAGCTCAAGAACTGACTTGGGTGTAGCTCCTAATTTCCAAGAGTAAACACAATGATTACTTACAAATTCTCTCTCTATATTACATAAAAAGTTTAAGATCGAAGAAGACGACGATGGAAAGAGAGAGCAATATACAGTACTAATGTGTATGTTTGTGTGTATACAAGCTAAAGGGACAATAATAAATTTCAGAAAGAAAGCTAATTAAAGAATGAGACCTACTTTCATGGCCACCCAAGAGCTCAACAGCATGAACAAAACGGGAATGGAGGGTAGTAGTCCACCTCATCCGAGGTGCCCTCATGCTACGTTTGGCTGGGAACCTCGAAAAAAACCTTGATCTCATTAGGCTTTGAGGCTGAAAAGGTCTGCTTGAAACAGTACTATTAGGAGTAGAAGGTACAGATGCATCTAAATTTTGCTCATGAGCAAATGTGAAGGCCGGAGGGTTTTGGTAAACTGGAATTCCTCTTATGGGCCTCAAGAAACCGAGCTCCGGGCTTAACCCCTGATGGTTTTGGTGGTGGTGGTGGAAGGGCTGAGGACGGAGGTGCTGCTGATGTTGCTGTGGAAACTGGTGGATGAAATTGTTTGTATTGTTTTGAAGAAGGTGAATATGGTTAAAATCAGGTTCCGAAACACTTTGATTTGATAACGAAAGCTCAAAACTGTTTTCAGGCTTAGCCAATGAAGAGGTTGAGTATCTAGAATCTAGAGCTCTCTTCCAGAATCCCAAATCCATTTCATCCTCTCTTCTTCTCCAACCTGATGAGGGTTTGCTATTTGGGAGGCTGATTTGTAGAGAGAGGTCTGGTTGTGCTGGAAATAACTCCATATCATACAATCCCAGGTCCAGCTCGGAAAAGTTTCTATCTCCCCTTCTTCTTTAACCACCACTCTTAGGGTTGCAGAAGGATTAGAAAAGGCCTTGTTGGGAGGACAAAAGCAGAGATTGGATGCTAAATTTCCGGGAGAGAGACAAGAAAAGAGAGACAGATTTTCTGGGGTTTTCTTCAGATGGGATTTGATGATCAAATTGTGAGGAGTAGTTGCAGATTTGCGATTGAAAGAGAAAGAAGAAATGACAAGCTATGAAGTGAATGGTTTTTCGTTTGTGTGAAGTATATGCAAGAAAGTGACACTTGAGGAGAAGAGAAGGTGGGGGTAGAGGGGGTTGGGCTTTTCGGGGTGATGTATTTCAAAAGTATATCTTAAATATATATGTTCAGAAGCAAACCAATAATAGAGGTTGTATTTTCATTTATTACCTGACTAATACATAACTTAAGACCTACTTATTAATAACACTATGTAGGTGCCAAGTAATGAAGGGTCCAATGTTTTATCGTACATCAATCATTTTATCACTTTATTTTTTTTACAGTATTCATGTTGAACCACACATTTTTTATTAAAATAATATTTCACATAAAAAATTTTTTTTTTTTTAACCACATATTTCAACATCAATCATTATTCCATAATACACTTTTTGAAATTAAAAAGGCACAAACATGCCCTTAAACTGTAAAACTCACTCACTTAGGCTGGTGTTTTGATATGATAAAAGAACAAAAAATTACTTTAACATCATTTCACTAAGGATGTTAAACACATAAACTACAACACTACACTACTCAATAAAATTTAACGAAACAAATACGTAAATAGTGATTTAATTGAGGTATCTATATGTTTAACGACTACTATATTATCACGTTGAAATAATTTAATGACTAAAATTAAACTTTTGTAACCAAAAAACCCCAATTTTCACTCGTTCATATACTTTTGGGTTGAGGTCGAGGTTGGGGTAGGGTGGAGTGGGGTGGGGTGGAGTGAGAAAGGAAGAAATAAAAGATGGAAAAGAAAAAGTGAATTATTTTGAGATTTGATTCTTTTTTACACTTTCTTTTTATCTATATATGAATTCTTTATAAGGGCAAGTAAAGGAAATTTTAGTGCAACCTTTTAATCTTTATATTTGTCCCTCAATAACTCATACTTACCTTTCTCAAAAAATACTCTTTATTGAACTGACACTAATGGGTTTGTACCTCATCTCTCCAAACCCTAAACTCAGGAAATTAATTAATTTCTTATCAAATATAAATGCCACTAGATTCTTGACCAATTTTCCTTACCTTATTATCTATTATAATATTACCTAATCATTACAACTTTTAGTCTAATTTAGGACTATAATTAGTTTATGACCAATTTTCTTAAAAGAAGATCACACTTTTAGTCCTCCTCCTTTGAGTGCACTTGAAGCGGCTGGGCACTAGTGGGACCAACATTATTGGGAAGATCCGTTGATAGATTAGCAATTTTAGACTGAGGTTCATTGCTTGTAAAGAAGGAAATATTTGGAGATGACTCGGACGTCAAGTGAACTAGTTTCGAGAGAAAAAACAAAAATTTTCCTTATGTTTCTTCAAATCCTTGGTACCAGATTTACTTAGGGTGTTTTCGATAGTGTTAAGACCAACCTTATTGAGAAGGGTTTCAAATTGGTACAACGATGACTTTTGAGTCACTCACAACAAGAACCGAGGAACCCACAGGCGCTTGCAACTATATATCTTTGTTTCTCTATCAAGTATAGAGTCTTAGATCTAATACCATGTGAACGAGGAGGACAAGAAATGAATGAGAGAAATTGTATATGGTTATTGTATGCATATTAAAATAAGTAGTGTTCTATTTATATGTTAATTACAACTACTAGTATGAACGTTATAATAAAGGAGATATACAAGAATATTCACACAATCTTCAAATATGGAAGACTACGGAAGATATATAGAAATTGGTAAAATATCCAATCAATTGTATCATTGATTTGATTCTAACAGTTTACAACTCTTTGGTGAGAATTTAATTTTTTCTTTTTAGGCTTGCTATTTATTTTAAAGATTTTTTCTCTTCCGGTGAGAGGTTGGATTGAGAAGTGTAAGGAAGAAAACCTCATATTCTCTTTCTTCATTATTGTAGAAAATGAAAATTGATGCAGTTCTCTTATTGATAAATCGATGTATTTGTGTGTTGTTCATATTTCTCTTAGGTTTTAATCTATAACAACTAGTTCATATTAATAGTTTGTTTTTAAGCAATGATTGAAGCAAACTGATTTTTCCTCGTCACCAACCAGCAGTTTTTTTCCTTTCGAAAAATACACTATTTCCCTAGTTTGACTTTTATGCTGTGCCATCAATTTCTCATTCATTGCATTTTTTCAAATTCTCATCCCTAAGAGTGACTGGTGGATTTGAATAAAATTCACTTGAATAAGAAGCTTTTTCTTGGAATAGTTTTTCAAGAAATATGAAGTGTGATATGGGTTGTTGATGCATTTTATTCTGCATCATCAACAACATGAGCTGGAGTAATAATTTCATTACTTGGTGTAGGGTCGAATTCTTGAAACTGGTTTTTAAGAGGAAGAACTTTGAAAAATCAAGAAAGAAAAAATCCTCCTTATATTCCTTCAAATCCTTATCTTCCAATGATGATGTCTACTCCTACTGAAGATAAGGGCTAGAGGGAAAAATATTGTTTTCAACAAAAGTGACATCTACGGAAGAACACACAAAATAAATAAATTATTTGAGGGGGTCGGGGGGAGAGGGGGTAATAGAACTTGTAATCCTTTTTTGTGCCTGAATAACCTACAAAGATACAATTTAACACTTATGGATCAAGTTTTTCACAATTATGTGCACGGCCATGAATAAATGAGTGAAAACTTTAGGAGGAAATTTGCAAAACACTTAACATTCGAGAAAAAAAATTAAGGAATACACTCCTATGACTTTTGAACTCTAGGGCCCTAGAAAATATTCGATTTATTAAGAAGATATGAGCTT